GTTTTTTTTTTTCAATTTTTAATCAGATTATTAAATGTTCTTATAAAAAAGCACATATATAATGATACACTTCCCTTTCCCTTTTCAGAGTGCTTTATCAAAATCGGTGTCCCACAAAATACGAGATATTAGGTACTGCTCAAAAAAACGAAGTTCTGCAACTGTCCATACTGAGGATAAACTCATTGACGTAAATAAATGAAAGGTAAATTTCTATAATTTACTGACGGTCCTATCTCAGAATGCTACAGAAACAGCTGCATTGATCAAAATTTTAGATACGATAATTTGTCTTAATGTCATTTGGTTGTGGAAAATGTGATATTAAAACCATGTCTAATGATATCATTAGCTTGAAGAAAATGTGATAATAAAGGAAATATGTCATTAACAGAAAAAAATTAGTATGAAACTTTCTAAAAAAATCTCTATAAAATTATGCATATAAATTTTCCTAGAAGCACAGGTCAAAAAAAAACCTGACTTGTCTTCAGTATAAGGGGTTATAGGCATTTTGTTACCTGGATTTGATATGATCAGGAGTTCAGGATAAATCTAATAAGATAATGAAAGAAAAGTTGTATTCATGCAAGTATTTTAAAGACAATTCAAGGACAATTATTAGTGTAGAACATTAAGTAAATAAAACCCAAAAAAAGCAGGAAAGCAAGATTTCATCCCACCTGAAATGGCTGTAAGTGATGATACAAAAATTGAATGAACATGTTTGTTTTGACTCATTTTTCATAAAAGTTTGCATTAAAATTCTCTGAAAATGCATTGGGAATATTGACAGATGAGACTAATTAGATATAAAGTTGTTTTTCCAATATCTTTGTGTAATCTGGACAGTTGATAGTGTTATGTGTGAACAGGCTATACTATGTCTTGTTCTTTATCCTTAACTCATGGAGAAAGGATCCTGGTGAATCGTATATAATGTGTAAAAAATTTTAATTTGAAGAATTTTGAAACAAAATTTGCATTTATTTAAAAAAAAATATTGGGATATTTGTAAAACTAAACAATACTAGTGTCAGGATTAAAATCATTCTTAAAAATTTTCTGTTTATTTTTCAGAGACATTTCGCAAACTGTGTGTCCCAAAAAGTCAGAAACCTTCGTTTTCGAAGCAAGATGAAACAAAGGAGAATTGATTGTACAGTAGTTGAGAACAAACCAAATTTGAAAAATAGATATACTTGAGAGTTAGAATTATCCAAACAGTAAGGACAGCATGAAAGGATCCATATTTATGAAGCTTTTTACTGGCGTCTGTATATTTAGCTTGTTGACATGTTTCCTGTCTTGGCAAGTTGTCATTAGAAAAGCTGTCATGATATTTTATGTGTTGCCATCAATAATTGAGGTTTGACGCCACTTCTATACAGTATCTGTTTGGTTATGTCACAACAACAACGACGAAACAAAAAAAACAACACTTGTACAAGTGTACATTGTATGTTTCCAAAGCCTTGTGACCTGTTTTTCCAAATGATCTTGATTATCTTAAATGTATAGCGTTTGGAGCTTGGAGATTTCTGCAAACCATATGAAGGAAACTAGAGTAAATTTTGACAAGAATATTTGTTCAAGAGTGTGTGATTATATGCATGTGTAAGCCAGACTTAACATACCAATGGGTACAAGTGTTGTTTATTGACATGTGTACAGTAAGATATCGTGGAATGTTCAATTGGAATAAAGATATAACTTTCCTTACCTACACAGGTTTAGTGTAAATTAAATGTGTTGTAGTGTATGTTACCGTATTACATGTAGCTAGGACTCCTCAACTTTGATAGGATGCAGGGACATCATGATCTGACTTTAAAAAGAACATAAAAGACAATTCTACTAGGACAAAAGTGTGGTACAAGAACAAGATATTATTGTGAAGTGAATTAAAGAAAGCATATGCGTGGATGATTGAAAATATTAACTTATTTATGACCAGTTATTAAAATTATTAAGTGTTTAAGAGTCTTTCTTGCTTACTAGAATGAAAATAGAAAACAATATGTCATTGACAATATGACAATCAGGATTGGACTTGTTTCCTGTTTCATCTTCTGTTTTTAGTGACTGTGATATACTAGTTGGTGTATCATATTGACATATTCGCAAAGAAATGATAAAAGCAGATATCACCAATTGATATATACCAAGAGAAATTGTTTTACCTCTGTTTGACTGGGATCTAGAAATATCTATACAGATTTTGTGGTGACAAGGTTTAGTTTACGTTGCTGATAAATATTTAGTGGAATGCAGGTTTTCTGAAATTGAAAAGTAATAGTTAATTCATAGAGACAGGGTTGGTTGTTTTCAGAAATATGGATTGAGCTGGAATCTCTTAGAGCTTGTTTGAACGATAATTTTGAATTACTTTTACAACGTACTGTTTAATTGTCGCATCTTAATGCATAATATAAAGCTGCCTGTAATTTTAGTACCTTAGGGAAGAAATTTTAAGATACTTTGTTGTAATGAAACCCAAGTTTTAGGGCGAAACTGGTAGACGATACCTAATAAATGATGAGAAACCGCCTCCAGCTTGTGAATGATTCTCCGGATTTAAGTATTTTATTTTGCGTGATAGAACTGTTATAAAAACAGGTTGATAAATTAAATCTTAAGCTGAGAGGTAGGAAAATATTAATTTGAGTTTTGGTAAACTCCTATATCCCCCATATTGATTAAATGTAAGCTCATTTTGTTGTAAAAGACATTGTGAAATTCCAGGGTTGATGTCCTTGGGTTTAAATCCCTCACATCCTTTTCATTATTGTAATATGGATTGCAATGCCACAACTGTCCAGGATATGTATCAAAATCTACAATACATATCAAAATTGTACCTGGTATATAAGCATGATGTATTGACATGGGGTAAATATTTGCTCTATTGCACTCATTTTGCTTTCATATACAATATCATATAATGTGATTTTGGTCTGAAAATTTATGTGGAACACATTTTAAAACACTGAACTGTTCTCGTTTCAGTGGGAGTTTGCTAAAGGTGTTTCCCAAAAAGTGCGCAACTTGCGTAAGCAATTTCGTAGCCGGCAACAATATCTGACCAAATCACTAACTCCTCAAACCTCGGCCTCGACTGGCTCAGATGGACAATAGAACAGACACTATAGGTATAGTTTTATACATTTACAGTACATCAATTGTAAATCTGACTTTTCCAAATTTTTTTTAAAGATGTCCTCTTTAATCATCAATCAGGCTTTAGTTTCTCAGTTTTTAGATTTCCCCAATTCATAGTTAAAAGCCTGGGAGGTCAACACCCTCAGACTTCAGGTCAGGGAGTGGGTTTATGATAGGTCTATGACAAAGCATTTGTTAATTAATTCTGCTGTTTGGTCCTATCATCAGACATGGGCTTATTATCTGATCAATATGTAAACATATGTAAAAGACTTTTTAAGAGTTTTCAGAATTGAAGCTGTAACAGTGAAAGTTATATTTTGCTGGCAGTTCTAATAGCGGAAATACTTAGATTGAGCAGCAAGGAAAGTACAAGCGTTTATAGGTTTGATTTTGGATCCACTTCAGCATCAATGGCTCCTGTTCAGTAGGAATGCTGCTAGACTAGGATTATAAGCTACTGATATGTTAAATTTATGGATTTACTGTATATGTAACCAGGGAAATCTGTCGTGGAATTGGCAACTGAATTAAAACCTATTTGTGTATATTGCAGTTGTACATTTTAGGTATTTTTCTCTTTGATATTTATGTAATTAAAAATTTAAACAATATACGTTATAGTAGTCCTTGCTTCTTGTCGTAAGTTAAAATTGTCAATAAACACATTTACTATAACAATTTAATTCATTAAAAAAACTCATTTCAACCTATGTTAATATTCAATCATTGTATTCACAAATTAAATATTGCTGATATTAAAATAATTAACACTTTAGGCTGTTGTTTCTAAAAATCGTTTTTTTTTGCTTTGATGGAACCTTTGTTTCTTTTTCTTAATTTTTTTTTTTTGAAAGAAGTTAAGTAGGAACCAGAACACAGAAAAATCAAAATGATGTCTTTAAATCACCAAGAACTAATACTTCAAACTTCAACTTCAGTGAAATGTTAAAAATGAAAGATAACAATACCTATATAACTAACGGATAGGATTCTTTATATTTCAGTGGGAATTTGCTAGAATTGTTTCCCAAAGAGTCCGTAACTTCCGTAGGAAAGCACGGAAACTACTAACAGTGGGTGATACTGCGACAGAATGATCAATTTTGATGGATGATTACACACATTATTAGGTGTCGTCTCTACAACACGGTGACCAATTTTGATGGATTATGTACAATATGAGGCATTATATCCGTGTTGGATGTTGAACTATAAATATTTGCCTAATTTTAAGAGTCTCCAAGCTTCTGTAGTGGAGGGCTTGTGAACATATTCTGGAGACTGGTGTTCCAGGTGCAAAGATCGTGTTGTCTGTGTGAAATTGTGTCAGTTTGTATTTCATTTCTACATTTTGGGGATTAAGGAATAATTTTTTCTTCAAATGTATTGTAGCATGTTACACGCAGATCTTAATTGGCAGAGTTTAAATAAATTTTGGAATGACAAAAAGTCTGTAGACCTTAACATGCTATATACCACAGATAACTTAATTTATTTATGCAGTTTAACATATTTATAGAAATTAGATAGATGCATCTTTCATCATTAAGTTTGATTCTTGTGAGAAGTTTCTTGCTAAGGGACTGCTACATTGTAAATGGATGGTAATTGTCAGGTGACTAGTTTCCTATAGTTGCATCATTATATTTAACCTTATAATCATAATTTGTCATTGCATATAATTTGATGGGATGATCGTTTCTAAATCCCCAAAAGGTGAAAGTGATAGGAGCAGATAAGGACAGATGGTGTATTTACCTGCATTTAGTGTGTTAATTCGATACCAAAAAACTCCGCAAGTTGTGCACTGACTCCCTGTCCTTGTGTATTTTCAGACGGATTGTGCGAGAGGCATCTCACAAAAAGTACGCGACTTACGCAAAAAGTTTAGAAGGATAAATTTTGGTAAACAAGACACTTTCGCCTCACTTGCTGCTTGCAGTGTCGCAACAGGTCATATGCAAAGTTCTGAGTCGCAGTTTCCTCAACAAAGCCATGCACAAGAGACAGTGGAAGAAAACCCTCAGCTACTTTTCCCTGTGTAGGCACAGGCCATTGATCAGCTGATGCAAAATCATTTTTATGTAAAGGTTTTATCATAATGATGGGAAACTGGATAAGTTTACAGCCCAAATATAACTAACTGGAAACCTAATGTTCACTGCATACATTGGAAAGAAAAGCATATGTGTACCATTTCTGGAATTAAATTGTGTTTAAAATCGTCTGGAATAGTACGATAGAATACGAAATCTCCCAAAATAAAATAGTTCAGTGTATTTGAAACCTTTTGGAATAAGATAGTACCTAGGTATTGGAAATCTTCTGAAATCCTATGAAATGATAGGGTACATAGATTTGAAATCATCCGATATAAAACAGTATTTGAAATCTTCCTACTTATTTCTTTAGTATTTGTAATCTTCAGAAATAATTTTCTCTCTGCTTTTCCTTAGATTTTGACACAGATTTAGAGTTGCACTTTTACTTAAGTGAGGGAGCTTAATGAATACATCCCTCTGAAAATATCATTGAACAGATATTATGATCATCATTGAACAGATATTATCATCATCATTGAACAGATATCATCATCATTGAACAGATATTATCATCATCATTGGACAATGTTATTTAAGTTTTGTTTGGTGATGTCTTGTAAATATTATCAGTAAAGGCATTCAGTCAACAGCCATGTTTTGTGTTATCAGTCCATCATGAATGTAAGGATATCACTTGAATATTAGGAAAGTGATGTGTTTGTACTTGTGCATTTTATTGAGTAAAAAGTTAAGAGAAAAAAAAAAAAAAAAAGAGGGAAAAATCAACTTGTGAATAGTGCTCCCCCTTGCTAATAACCCACAACTTTGTTCCATCTCTTTCTCAAGTTCATTCAAGTGCCTTGCCACAATATCTTTTTACCTAGTTAACTAACTGCGATGAAACTTTCCCCCTTTTCTCTCCCTTTTTTTTGTTTTTGTTTAAGGTATCTTTAAAGTTCTTATCTAAGTTTATCTTTAAACTTTGTTTTCCTGCCAAGTATATACATACTGTATATCAAATGTTTTTGTTCTGTTATAAAATATTTGAAACTCTTATTAATGTGATGAATTTAAAGATATTTTATGTATTGAGTCAAAATGGATCTGAAATATTGTATTTCAATGTTGTATTTATATATACTGTATACTGAACTGATGTCCTCTTCGATTGCATAAGAATATTTAAATGCAATGACCTTGACCCTAAGGGTAAAGTGTTTCAGTCAAGAAATTGTGACCAGGCTTGATCTTTCGTTCCCACAATGCATCTGAGCTGCTGACTCAGTGGCAAGTATTTGTGTGATTTTCTTTTGGATCTGATTCCATTACATCATGGCTATGCTATATACTCCAAAAACCTTGCATTACAATAGTATAGTCCAGTTTATAGTATAAACAGGTCTACAACAACATATTTGTTGTCACAAATTTCTTATTGATGTAGATGTAGCTTATCAATATTGATGTAATTCAAGGGAGAAACCTTATGAGTAAGAGAAGACAGGCCATTTGAACATAAATTGTGGTTTTAACTTCGGAAATGTTTTTTTTCCTTTCTAAAATCTGTTTTGTTAGGTCACATGAGACAAGGTCTCAGGGTGACCCATTGCGATCCTCATTTTTCTTGTGTCTTGCATCGTGCATCATAAACTTTTCAACTTCTGGAAAACTCCTGAACTGATTTCAATGAAATTTTACAAAAGTCTTCCATGGCCAAAAGCGCACCAAAATTGTAAATTATATGATCCCCAACCTCCAGGGGCCTGAGGGGCGGGACCAAAAATAGTCAAATTGATTGAAACTTCACCCGAGGTAGGGGGAAATGTTTACTGTAGTTTATATAGGAAAAACACTTTTCTGAACATTTTTTGTTTATTTTCTATTGGAAATAGTTCAAACCTAGATGAGTTATTAGTTTAAGATGACACTTTAATGAGATGCACCCAGGGACTGTTGGGAGGAGCCAAAAGTGGGTCATATTGACTGAAATTTCAAATATCTTCTTCTCAAATCTCAAGTATGTTAGAATCAAGTACTCTACATGGATGGAAAGGCCTTCAGATGCTTTACCAAAATTGCAAATTTCATTACCCCCGAGTGTCATATTTCCCCCAGGGGAGGGGGTAAAGTTTACTATGTTTTATGTAGGAAGATTACCTTTTTAACAAAATCATTTCTATGATATGTTACAAGAAGCATTGTGACTAAGGTGACAGTTAAGGCCCTTGGGTCTCTTAAACTTGTTGTTTTAAAATTTTAGAACTGTTTGTGAAACTTCCAGTCACATAAAATGTGTACAATACTCTGCTTGTTATAAATACATGAAATCTGTTTAAAGTCCCATTTTAGTTGATATGATATCTGGTTTTTGTATTACCCTGTTTTCAAGTAATACTGAAATAGGAATCATTGGTCTTGACTGGTCTCCAGATTCTATATACATCATGTATGATGTCTACTTACTTGGGACCATAGTGTCTCTTCTATACCTTGGATTTATGGAATACAAATAAAACACTTGTATTATCTCTGATATGATAATGGAGGGCTGTGTTATATGTGGTAAATAAACTTATGCTGTATCGTTTGAATGTTGTTATGTGTTCTTTTGGATTATTACACATTTTGATCACAATACCAAAAATAGAGGATGTTAGTTCCAGTATACATCATGGTAAAGTGGACCTCAGGATATTTAAAGGTGATCTTTGCAATGTTTATACATGGTGTTGAACAGTTGTTCGATTGATCATGCTATTTCTTTCATCACCGAGATAGTTTTTATAGTCAGCAAGGAAAAAATAATGTGGTGTGGAAATTTGTTATCATTACAAGTATGATTGCCTTGCTTTAAAACAGGTTTGAGTGTGATATGGGGAAAAAATTGTCTTGGAGGAAATCTGTGCTTAGTTGAAAAAGTAAAAGTGGAATTTATCATTGGGTAATGTTATTCATCATTGGCATAATGTTTCTGTATCAGATCAAGGGATTCATAGTTGGTCACGATTAACGATATTGTATTTCACGTTTCTTCAACAAAAAAAATGTATCAGCAACTCCCTCTTGGCATATTCTGGAATTGATGTATAAAATTTGGACAGAATAGCATGAACATAAAGATTATTTTAAATTACATGCTTTATGGAAAGACATTTGATCTTCTCCCCAAATAAGATCATATATGAAGCATTACTGGGAAAATCTTCTTTCCTGTTGTAAGAAACAAATTTAGAGCTGGTGGACATCTATTTTCTTTGTCATTCATATATGAGGACTGAGTCTGCTATCTTGTGATAGAATATGTGGGAAAAGAGTGTCTAATGATTATACATAAGTTTTTAAATTCGCATGTTCAACAGCCATGTAAAACTAGACTTATGGTTTATTTTTCAGAGTGTTCTTGCAAACTCACTCTCGCACTGTGTGAGAAATATCCGGTATAGAAGCAAGCCAAAAGTGGATAGAATGATGATGATGCAATTTAAAAGCGCAGAAGAAATGATTTTAAAGGACCCAACAACTCTTAGCACGAGCCTGTCTTAGACTAAAGGATCAGACACCTTATTTTGTTAGTGACACGTAGATTCATCTTCATAAGCAACTAAGGATCGTCATAGTCCTTTCTTTGTTAGCGACATTATTGGATTAGCTTAATCAGTGGATTAGATCATCCTTGGTAAACGACATAGATCAGCGCTATACAAATTGTATTTGTGACACATTCAGATAAGATTACAAAGATGGATGTTTAAATTCCATACTGGTAAAATAGTTTTTTTACAAATTTATTTTAAATGATGATTCAGCTATGGGAGAATTTTAAGTTAAATGCTTGATACACTTTCTTGTAATTTCAAACATAATTTTTGGCCAGATTTTTTTCATTGATCTCTCAGTCATTTTACTCCATTCATGATTAGTGTTAATTAATATTTAATATTTTGAGTATTAAAGACAATTAAAAAAAATAATATGAAAAATCCTCTTCCAAGTAAAAATGTCTCACTTCATTTAAAAGTTTTACACTATTTGTTACATACAAATTTCCTTTTGGGCTAGTTTTCCAAATTAATGATGTAAATTTTAATGTTTCCAGTTATCATCACACTGAAAAAGTATGAAATATACTTGAATTTAAAGGTATAAATGAAATTCTTGAATGGCTTAAAATTGAAAATGCAAACACGCCATGTCATATATCAGATCTAGATATTATATAGGAGTTCTAATGTTTTGGTTCTGATTTGTGATTACAGTAAATCTAAGAGTTAATTTGTCATTCTGAAAATATGGCGGGGTTACAACCTGATTGATGTTTATCTTATATCAGTTTTAAAATATGCATCATTGACTCATAAAATCTGAAACAAACAGTATTGGAAAATGGGACTTGAAACATAAGTAAATTTGTAAAATGATTTTTTTATAAATATAGCTTAGAAATACAATTTCCTTGTGATAACACTGTGTCTAAAGTCATACAGTTGATATTTCATCGATGTAGGTGTTCCAGAGAGTAAACAGTTGATATTGATATACATACAGATACATTAATGCTGCCAAAGATATTGTGTGTACATTAACATATTTACAATTAAAAATACCAAGAAATCAAGTAGGTATATGTATCACACAAATTGTAGGTCAGGGTCACAGGTCAGATGATATGAACAGGAGATTTGATCTCTATATTTGTTTAATGAATTTAGGTCAATTCACAAATGAAGGTTATGTCTCTTGTTATATGAATTGAAGGTTAAGGACATTATCATATTCAAGGTCATGGCTATGTCACATATGAATTGTAAGTCAAAGTTGTCATTTATTTAGGTCATGGCCATAGTCACTAATTGCCTTAAATTGCAGACTGTCAGGGTTCTGTAGTTTGAATAAGTGCCAAGGCCACTATTTTTTTAATAAAATGGTTCAGACGATTGATGTCTGAATAAAAAGATCAAGGCAACTGTTGTTTGATGAAAAATTTTAGATAAAGGAAAATGTTAATTTGATTATGAAAGCACATGCTACTGTTGTTGTAGGCTACTGCTTTTAAAATAGAGGTTCAGGCTACATTTGTTTAATTAAGAATGTACAAACTTCTGAGTAAGCGAGAAGGTGCAGGCTACTGTCTAGATAAAAGGTGAAGGCTACTGTTGTTCAGGTAAGAAGACACAGGCTACTATTGTTCAGATAAGAAGATACAGGGCTACTGTTGTTCAGATAAGACACAGGCTACTATTGTTCAGATAAGATACAGGCTACTATTGTTCAGATAAGAAGATACAGGGCTACTGTTGTTCAGATAAGATACAGGCTACTGTTGTTCAGATAAGAAGACACAGGCTACTATTGTTCAGATAAGAAGATACAGGGCTACTGTTGTTCAGATAAGATACAGGCTACTGTTGTTCAGATAAGAAGATGCAGGCTACTATTGTTCAGATAAGAAGATACAGGGCTACTGTTGTTCAGATATAAAGATACAGGGCTACTGTTGTTCAGATAAGAAGATGCAGGCTACTGTTGTTCAGATAAGAAGATACAGGCTACAATTGTTCAGATAAGAAGATACAGGCTACTGTTGTTCAGATAAGAAGATACAGGCTACCGTTGTTCAGATATAAAGATACAGGCTACTGTTGTTCAGATAAGACACAGGCTACTGTTGTTCAGATAATAAGATACAGGTTCAGATATAAACATACAGGGCTACTGTTGTTCAGATATAGAAGATGCAGGCTACTGTTGTTCAGATAAGACACAGGCTACTGTTGTTCAGATAAGACACAGGCTACTATTGTTCAGATATAAAGATACAGGCTACTGTTGTTCAGATAAGAAGATACAGGCTACTGTTGTTCAGATAAGATACAGGCTACTATTGTTCAGATAAGAAGATACAGGGCTACTGTTGTTCAGATAAGAAGATACAGGGCTACTGTTGTTCAGATATAAAGATACAGGGCTACTGTTGTTCAGATAAGAAGATGCAGGCTACTGTTGTTCAGATAAGAAGATACAGGCTACTGTTGTTCAGATAAGACACAGGCTACTATTGTTCAGATAAGAAGATACAGGGCTACTGTTGTTCAGATAAGACACATGCTACTATTGTTCAGATAAGAAGATACAGGCTACTGTTGTTAGATATAAAGATACAGGCTATTGTTGTTCAGATATAAAGATGCAGGCTACTGTTGTTCAGATAAGAAGATACAGGGCTATTGTTGTTCAGATAAGAAGATACAGGCTACTGTTGTTCAGATAAGAAGATACAGGCTACCGTTGTTCAGATATAAAGATACAGGCTACTGTTGTTCAGATAAGACACAGGCTACTGTTGTTCAGATAAGACACAGGCTACTGTTGTTCAGATAAGAAGATACAGGGCTACTGTTGTTCAGATATAAAGATACAGGGCTACTGTTGTTCAGATAAGAAGATGCAGGCTACTGTTGTTCAGATAAGACACATGCTACTGTTGTTCAGATAAGACACAGGCTACTATTGTTCAGATATAAAGATACAGGCTACTGTTGTTCAGATAAGAAGATACAGGCTACTGTTGTTCAGATAAGATACAGGCTACTATTGTTCAGATAAGAAGATACAGGGCTACTGTTGTTCAGATAAGAAGATACAGGGCTACTGTTGTTCAGATATAAAGATACAGGGCTACTGTTGTTCAGATAAGAAGATGCAGGCTACTGTTGTTCAGATAAGAAGATACAGGCTACTGTTGTTCAGATAAGACACAGGCTACTATTGTTCAGATAAGAAGATACAGGGCTACTGTTGTTCAGATAAGACACATGCTACTATTGTTCAGATAAGAAGATACAGGCTACTGTTGTTAGATATAAAGATACAGGCTATTGTTGTTCAGATATAAAGATGCAGGCTACTGTTGTTCAGATAAGATACAGGCTACTGTTGTTCAGATAAGACACAGGCTACTATTGTTCAGATAAGAAGATACAGGGCTACTGTTGTTCAGATAAGACACATGCTACTATTGTTCAGATAAGAAGATACAGGCTACTGTTGTTAGATATAAAGATACAGGCTATTGTTGTTCAGATATAAAGATGCAGGCTACTGTTGTTCAGATAAGAAGATACAGGGCTATTGTTGTTCAGATAAGAAGATACAGGCTACTGTTGTTCAGATAAGAAGATACAGGCTACCGTTGTTCAGATATAAAGATACAGGCTACTGTTGTTCAGATAAGACACAGGCTACTGTTGTTCAGATAAGACACAGGCTACTGTTGTTCAGATAAGACACAGGCTACTGTTGTTCAGATAAGAAGATACAGGCTACTGTTGTTCAGATAAGATACAGGCTACTATTGTTCAGATAAGAAGATACAGGGCTACTGTTGTTCAGATAAGGAGATACAGGCTACTGTTGTTCAGATAAGACACAGGCTACTGTTGTTCAGATAAGACACAGGCTATTGTTGTTCAGATAAGAAGATACAGGCTACTGTTGTTCAGATAAGATACAGGCTACTATTGTTCAGATATAAAGATACAGGCTACTGTTGTTAGATATAAAGATACAGGCTACTGTTGTTCAGATAAG